CAGGAGATTTTTGCTGGTCCTCTGTGTACAGCTGAAATTGGTCTAATAAAGCCTGAGCCTTGCTGAACGAGGCATGAAGTGGTCAGCTGCCTTTTAGCCAGTGCTCCCCAGCCTTAGCTGTAGGTGATGTGCCAGTGCTTTTCAAATGCATCCTTTTAAAGGCTGGTGGTGCTTTCCCTCCTAGCAATCTGAAGTGATTCGATTGGCTCTGGTGGAATTATTCCAGATTTCACACCTTTTTAACTGAGAGCATAAATTGACCTGTATGTGTTGCATTTCCTCCATTTGGTAATTATTTCAAGTACACTCAGATTTGCTGAATTCCCACAGCCAGGCAGGCAGGCTCACGGCGTGGGGTTAATAAACAGAGAGATCCTGTGATGCACAGTTTCAGGCCTGCACGAGGCAATAGCTCAGAGCTTGGCAGCCATCCTCTCCAGGTCCCTGTCCTCCTGGAGGTGGTGGGGAGCCCCCCTCGCCGGGCAGGGCAGGGCAGTGACTCAGCCAGGCAGATGGCTGGCTCTGTTTCAGCCGCCTTTGGCTCCCACCGAGGGCAGGACCCAGTTCAGGGTTGCTGTGGTGACTGTTTCCCAAGCTCTGCCTGGGATTCATTTTAGCTACCAAGAGACTGTCTGTCACTCCGTGGCTACCACCTCCCACAAGAGCTTCATTCTGCTGCTAGACTGAAGCTGTTAGTGAAGTCTTCCCTGCAGACAATAGAGGCCAGTGGTCTGCTGCTTATAGTCAAAATCTTTTTGGTTTCAGACGTTCTTCATCTACGGGTACTTTGGCCTTAAGGTGCTGCTTGGCACAGGTTTTGCTGGACACCAGTAAGGTTGGAGTTCTGTAGTGCAGCACAGTGAATTGCAAGTTAAAGCCAGCTTTGGCTAAGTCTGCATTTCTCTAAATAACTACAGCATGTTTGTTTTTTTTTTTACAAAGAAATTCTGAAAAATACTGGAGCACAAAAGGCATGCATGCCTGAGCTTTTTTCCTTTCTTTCCCCTTTCCATAAATCTTGGTTGTTGCTAATAGGCTGGGGAATTCATATCTGGTCTGTGGGACAAATCCTGGTAAAACATTGCCCTAATGTGCTTGTAGCAACAGTAGCATAATGAGATAGCTACTGCACAAAAGTTAATCCTGGAAGTTAGGCCAGCCAGACTCACCCTTTGAATTCCTGAAGATATGCAAGACTGACTTAGCTGTCCAAGCTGTGTAAGTTGTTCCTGACTTAGTTGACTATATTCTGTATTCTTCCTCCTTGTGCATTAATCCCTGTTTATTTTTTCTCCTCCCCTTTTCCTCATCCTTGCCCCGAGGTGTTCCTCAGCTTTACATAGTGAATTTCTCTTGGCATGCCAAAAATCTACTGATGAATACCACTTGTTTTGAAAGTTGCGTGCAAGATTTCTTTTTGTGAGAGTGTTTTTGCATAAGATCCGAGTAAGCAAGTATTTAGAACTTGCTCGTGGCTTCAAGCCAAAGTTTTTAGTTGTATGCATCTAATATTTGCAGTATCCACCGTAAATACGCTTAGAGAACAACGTGAAAAACTGTATGTTTGGAGTGTTGCTTATTGGTTTGGATCTAGGGGAAAAATATTTGAAGGATAGATTAAAAAAACAGGGATCAGCTTTTTGTAAAGGTGAAAGCTATTAATCACTGAAACAAATGATCACAAGCAGTTGGAGGATCTCCACTGTCCAAGATCTCAATTCAGTAACGGTTGCTTTGCTAGAGCAGAAGCAGTAAGTAGCATTATTTAGTCTGTTGCAGAGCAGATGATTGAGAATTTCTGCTTTCAGTCTCTTCCTCCATAACTTTCATGATTTTTTCCTTTGCAAGTCCCAGCTCTGACAATTGTAGCTGACCCATCGTGAATTGCCATGTTAACACTGGAGATGTCCTCTCCTGGCCTGCCCCACATTCCACACTCTTTTCAGGTCTTTGGCATTGCAAACACCTCTAATTTCTCTTGCAACTGTCCCTGAATGTCTGGAAGCAGCATAACATCATAGGGAAGGGAGAAAAGATCAGAGAGCTGCAGTAACCCGTTGAGTGCATTCACATGTCCTGTTATTAACTGTTACATATTTCAGAAATAGAAAAATCTAGAAGCACCTTTCATTCAGTACAGCAGAGAGATGGTGTCTTCACTTAAAAGTTTAAGCTGATGGACATTAGCTGGACACAAAAGACTTCATTCCTGAATTTGCTGAATGTTGGATTTTGGTATTTTTTTTTCTCTTCTCCTAACACGCTTAATCTTTTGTAAGACCCCTTTTGTGGTTTTGTTCAGGCAATTAATGTAGAAATGGAGGTTTCTTAAATCAGGATATGCAAGGAAGATTTGAAGTAACACACTGCTTATATAATTAATTCTCAGTTGTAAATTCATTTTGATGGAGTTAATTCTTTCCCAGAGGCTGAAGACTAGATTGGGTCCACCCACAGTGCAGTAATCAGCTAAGAAATAAAGAAGAAAAAGGCCATGAAGGAGTGAAAGTTTCATGACCGGTTTTAGGAAAAATATGCCAGAAACAGGCAGGATATTTTATTTTTAATTCAAGCAATAGCTTGTGAGCTGTGACTTTTGAACCATGGGTATCCAAATCCTGTTTTCAAGCAGCATAAAATATTGAGTCCAAAAGAAATCAGAAAGGATTGATACCTGAGGAGGATGGAGAAAAATTATCGGGGTGCCGGGACCCTGAATAGGTGGGTAAGTGGAAGAGGGGTTTAGGGTTCTTTTTTAAATCTTCCACAAAAATGCTAATATTCAAGCTTGAACAGTAATAACAAAGAAAAGATGTTGACAGATTTCCAGGATTTTCAGATTTTCAAGGGCAGTTGCTAGCCTATTTTACTAACTGATTCCATTCACAAGGCTTTTTAGTCCCAGTATGTCTCTGCCTTTTCCTTGGTTGGGTGTATTCTGTATCACAAACTGCAAGCACAGTTGTCTGGGGGAGATTTTAGCATGCATGCCAGGTAAGGATGTGCATGCAGTTGTCATTATGCCCTAGGAACTGGTAGGTTCTGGTTTCTTTTCTTAATCTGCTTGGTGGCTGCAGCAGAAGTTGTGTTGTGTTGGTTAAACTGCATTATCACCACATCTCCAGGCTCAATCGAAGACGTGTAAATGAAGTCAGCATGATGCAGATAGAGCTGACAGATGATCTTCCTTGCAGCTCTGGGTAGCAAGAGTAGGCTTGCCCTGGAATGTCACTTTATCAGTGGTTTCTTTACCCTCCTGTCTGAATTTGGACGGAATGAAATTCCCACTGGTTGTTTCTCCGTGAACTGCTTCCCAACTTCTACTTCCAAATTTAATGCAAAAAAAAAGCCAACTATGTCTAAGGGAATGTTGTACCATTTTAGTGAGTGAAGAGTTAAGTATAATCTTTATTTGTCATTTCCATTCGAGCCTAACAAGGTTATAGCTGGAGTTCTGTGAAAATGACTTTTTGGTGCTATTTTCACATAAACTGACTCTTTATTTATTTATTTTGTTCTGGGGTTATTTCACACCCCAAGGGTTTAATTTTTGTTGGTGGTTTTATTAATGTAAAAATACTCATTTTCACACCCAAATGTGTGATTATTTAAAATGCTGCTTCTATTCATTGTGCACTCACTTGCAACCTAAAGGCAAATGCTCAAATGTCTGGCTTTTTAAACTCAAAAATTACTGTGTTACAAGGGCAGTACTGTCATGTCTACCCCCCAGCATCCATAGATAGGATAGTTCCTCTCTTATTTCAGCACACAATGCTCTAGCACAACACCCTTTCTCAGCAAACCCTCTCACACTGTGGCAGTGCCAAAAGGCTGTGGCAAGGAGCCTGCACCTCTCTGGCCCAATGTGACTTTAAGTAGCCTTTGACCTTCTCTTGCTAGAAGGTTCACGACACAAAAGCAGAATTGCAGCAGTGTTGATCCAAGAGTCACTGGCCTTTGCTTACTCCCACCTACTCCCTGCCCAGGATGCTGGGGACCACGAAAGACATGGATGTAACATGAATTTTACCAACATCTCCCCTCTGTGGGGTCTGACTGGTTAAAACGCAACTTAAAATGTCTTTTTTTTTTGTCTAAATGGAGCTGATTTTGGCGAGTCTAAATGTGATATAAAATCAGTGTCCAGGGCTCTGCAGTTTGTAATAAGTGAATGTTTTGCTGATTTCTTGCTAGAATATCTGCAACTGCACCAATTTGCATGCCTGTATGTGTGTTAGATTGCTTGCAAAGAAATGCTGAATACTGATAATTTTATACTGATTTCCAAGGCTGATCTAAGTCATTTTGATTTTTATTTCATTCTGTGCTTCCTTTTTATTTCTGCACGTGTAGTAATGTCCTGTAATGTTGTTGCCTAAAATAAGCAGTGAGAAATGAAGTTGTGAGATGGCTGCTGTAAAAGGAAAATGACTTTTATTTTTTTTTCCTTTGATTATTTTTTTTTCTCAGGAAAGAATAGGTCTCTGTACACAGACTTCAAAAAAAAAAGTTGCATTCAGTATTTTCCAGCTAATTTAGATACAGAAAACAACATGGCTGTTGGGAGCCAGCAAAGCTCAGAAAAGTCATATTGAGAAGTTCTGCATAGGGATATTCTTCTTCTGGAGAAGCATCCAGCACTTCCCTACAGGTCAGCTGGACTCAGGGGTGCTCAGCACCTCCTCTGGGCTGGCATGAAGCTGAGGTCATCAGTGAAGCCTGGTTTGAGATGCTGCAGTCAGTTTGTGTTAGAAGGTACAGAAACCTCTGCCCATGTGCTGAGGAAAAGGAAGAAAACAGAGGGAACTGGGTGTCTTCATCTTAATTGTAGGTGATAAACCCAGGGGGTGTGTTCTCTTCTCTCCTCCCTTCAGTGATATACTTGAGTGTGTGGCTGCATCAGCAGCACTGGCAAACTTAGCTCCTTCCCATGAACCTCTTAACAAAAACTGAATGTATAAGAAGTTTTGGTTTTCCTTTTTTTTTTTTTTGCTTAGGAATCTGAGAAAAAGGGGTTAATTGACAGAATCCACATGGTCCAAGAAATCATCATAGCTGTTCAAAGCATCCTAGAAGAAATAGCATCATTTGGAGAGAGGATTAAAAAGTAAGTGATATTTTTTTCTTGCTTAGCCATGGTTTTCAATGAAGCAAAACCAGGAGGATTAAGGTGGAGTGAATTTCCTGGCCCAAAAATGACTACAAAGTGCAATGGGAGAGCTTGGTGAGTTTTACCACTCTTCCTTCTTCTCATAGAGTCCTTTTCTCCAAAAAACCTTTCCAAAGCATAGAGAGGAGGAAAAGCCAGGTGCTCTGCTGATGTAGCTCTCACATTCACCCGTCTGCAGAGATTTCTGGTCTTGTCTGTCTGTGGTGGGGTACAGACCCATGATGCCACAGAAGGGAAAACATGGTTGAAGATGTGGGCACAGAAGTTCTGGTCATGTCCTTTAACTTCCTTCCTGGAAAGTAGGTAGGAATTGGTGGTTGGTGTTGCCTTTCCCACGCCCTCCCTTTCCTGACCTGGTTACAGAGGTTACAAGTCACTTATTTCCCTGTCCAATGCATTGATATCCTTCTCTCTTTACCATTTTGAGCTCTCTGCTTCCTGCTGGTGCCACAAGGAAGCCCAAAGGGGGTTTTCTGGGTCTCATCACTCAGGAGGCAGATAGGGCATCCCTGACCTTACAAAGCAGGGAGGTGAAGAGCCTAAAAAAAAAAATCCCCCACACAAACTTTTATAACCCAACCTTTATTGGAGCTTAGTCGACCCACATTGTTTTCTGTTTTGAACACAATGTGATGGTTTGTGATCAAGCTGCTCTAGTGAGGAGCTGGGTTCAAGCTAAAAATACAGCAATGCATGTGCTGTGGTTCCACGCCGGCCACCCCAGCTGGGGTGGAAGTGGCCCAAAGATGTGTTCCAGTCAATGAACAGGGCACTGTTCTGCCCAGCTGCATGGCAGGAAGACTCAGAGCGTTTAAACACGACTATTTCTTGTGTTCATTTTGGTAACAATGGTCTTAAAGAACACATTAGTTATTAATGTGGACGCCCGATGTAATTTCGGAGGAATTCCATTGTAACTCAACAGTAATGTACCATTAAAAAATTGCCACCAAAGTTTTTCTGTAAGTGACAGACTGAATTGTGCTGCAGTTTCCGTCTGTCACTCTAGCTGTACAATCATAAGGAGTTTTAATAGTTTAACTGAATTGAGATGTTTTGCTGCCTTTTTTTTTTACATTAACTTAAGCTACGTTGATTGATAATGATGGGTCCTCTCCCACCTATCTTGACTTAATATTTAATACATCTATTGAAGCTTAAAAGTAATTCTTTTAGCGTCCTATTAATTTTATCTGTCAAGTGAAGTTTGTCTTATTTTATAGCCTGATAAGTGGTCCATGTTGATTCTCTCTTCTTCCTACTCCCCATCATCATGATGTGAGGAAGTTAGCAGGCAGATTGTATGAAACAGAGATGCCCAGATCTGTTAATCCACCTATGAACTAATTGGCATTCATGTAGTCCAGGTATCTCAGTGTTTAAGATACATCTTTATAGCATGTACCAAAAGGACACAGGGGGCAAAGTAACTTCACAGGTGTGTTAGCAGTAGCTGCTCACCTTAAGTACATTGTGGGTTTAAAGAGGAGTGGTCTGAGTGATAAAGTCCTGCTAGAATCCTAGAGCTTACCCAAAACAGCCTCCTATATACAATGTGGTAAAGAAATGTTAAAAATGTAATGAAATAAGAGGTACTTTTTATTATCACTGCAAATGTATCAATAATGAGAGAGATATGTAGAACATTAATCCCTAATAATATACAGAGAAAGGACTTTAGCTGCTCTTTTAAGGTTTAGCATCAGTCATAATGGATCCATTCCAAGTTATTGGCGAGGTTGAAGCTGACTACCTGCCCCATTTGAGTCATGCACTGCCATGGATCCCATGGGACCTCTGCTGTGGGGCAGCAAAGCCAGCTCAGATGGTTTGCACTTGTGGCATGGCCTTGTCTCCAGATCAGATAATTCACCCCTGAATAATGGAAAGCTGACTGGTGAGCAGAGATGTGTAACAAGTGTGACACCTATAAGAAGCAAAACCAACTTAAGACATGCCTAACAACTTCACTGAGCTACCCAAAGACTGTCTTCTCTTTCCTTGTCATGATATCTGCCTCTCAGATCAGGAATCCTGCTCATCCACCTTCCAAAGGGTCTGCAGTTTACACTGCATCTGAATGCAGTGAGCACGGCAAAGAGCTCATTGAATTATTATTGGGTAGCAGACTAGCAGCAGTGTCCAAGAGGAGAAATGTTGAAAAGGATTATTGTTGTGTCTTACAGCACATTCAACTGGACGGTGCCTTTCCTCTCTGTCCTGGCCTGCTTGGTCCTGGCAGCAGCAACAGTCATTTTGTATTTTATACCACTGAGGTACATCGTTTTAATCTGGGGTAAGTACTTCACCCTGTCTCATTTGCATGCACTAAATACAAGATGTGCCTACAGAAGGAAATCAGACAAGCTTTAAATGACCTGTTACACAGACAACCAAACGCTGTTGCCTAGAGGTGAATAAAAATGCTATGAACTTGTTAAAATTACCATTTTCCTGCCTCCTTCAGGTGATATGATGACCTGGTTTTCTTAGGGGTGTTTATAAGTTTCCAACAGCACCACAAGGGAAGCATTAGCCTAGATAAGCTGCTTTCAGTATTATTATTGTTTTACAGGGGAGTCATTCTCTTCTTAGTTCTGGAGCCTTCCATTTGGGAAGTGGTAGGGAGTGGACAAGATGTGTTTGAAGAGCTGGACCACGGAGGCCTGGACCCTGGCAGCCTTTTGGGTCCTAACTCCACTGAAGTCAGGAGGAGCAGTGTGTCCAGTATCTCATGGTCCAGTGGGAGGCACTGAGCATCTCTTTGAGTCATGAGGCAGAAAGTCCTTGTATGAAGGAGCATTGTGAAGTAAAATAAGAGTTTTTTTAAAAATGAAAACTTTCCTGGTGGTCTTATGGAGAAGAGTAAGATGGTCTTTCACAAAGGGAGATAACATTTTGGTTGCTGAAGACTTTCTTCATCCCCAAATGGCCTTCTGTCTTACTTAGACTGATGGCTGAGAACATAGTGCAGGTAATCCTTACTGAATTCAGCCCTGGTGTGGCTCTGGGTTGTAGGCTTCTGTCTGTCTTAGAGTGATAGCTTTCATCTCAAGCTTGAGGTACAATGGCTGAGAACATAGTGCAGGTAATCCTTACTGAATTCAGCCCTGGTGTGGCTCTGGGTTGTAGGGATTCTCCATCACCCTTCCAGGTCTGAGCCATCTGCTGCTGTCTTGGATACAGAAAAGGGAAGGAATGAAAAGGTGGCAGTACAAAAAACCACTCTAGGCCAAAAAAACATAAATGAAATAAAGGATTAAATCAAAGAAAAGAAAGGGCAAAAGCAAAGGAGAGAAATTGCTAGGAGTAAAAAGTTCAGTAACAAAATATTGCTGTTCTTGTATGGAAGACATGGGGAGTACATGAAAACTATACGTCTGTTCAACATCATCTAGACTGACAGGGCCTTCAAATATGATACATGTTAAAACAACTACCCTGTGGCAAGGCCTCAAAAGACCTTATGGTATTTTCTGTTTTTTAAAAATCAGGTACACAGAAAATGGTGTTGGCATTTTGCTACAAGTTTATGGCTTAAAAGCTGAATCTTAGATGTGAAGCAGCTACATTTCAAAGAGAGAAGGCTGGAGCAGCCATCACAGTTGAAATAATTTTCAGGGAAACTGCTATGAGATTTTGGACAGGAGTAGGATGGAATTCAATCCTGTTTTGTGATCCTCAAAGGCAACCAACATTTGAATTTTTTGCTATTCCTTAGAATGGGTTAACTGATTTTGTTTGCCTAATGATCCTTTGCTCTTCTACCACACCTTTAGGTAGCCACACTCCTAATTGCTATTGCTCAGTGGGGAGGTGGCAGTTGGGTGTTAAGTCTGAACATTGACACAAGAAGAGAGCTGGGAAGGGTGCTCAGGTCTCTCACTTTGTTATCCTGGTCCATGCAGTAGGGGTGGTGCTGGATGGGGGCTGGTCATCACTCTCTTTCCTCAGAGGGAAGAGAAAAACCTCATAAACACCACACTACTATGAATGTTACACTCCCATGGATCTCCTGTCCAGGCTAGGGACCATCTCTGATAGCTGAAGCATAACTAAGACTGTGGAGATGGGAAGTGCTGTTGCTGCAGTTAATAAGCCAAGTTATTCACCCTAAGATCAAAATAAACTTTGTGATAAGTTTTTATAGTTTCCCACAGCATCATAATACGGCAAACTTGTCAAATGTGGTTCTGCAAAGAGAGGATAAGCTTTGAGACATGATGGGGAAGGGAAGCTTTCATTTTCAGAAGAAATGGAAGGAAAAAAAAAGCCTTTATCTTGCCCAATTATTTTTCAGAGCCTTCCAGTTCCCTAGGTGAGAGGAGAGGGAACATCTTTGGTCACATAGGATAGCAGATTTAACCACAGTCTGCTACAAATTTGTGTATTCTCCTACAATATCCCCCAGAATGAACACACTGCAATCTCTATTTGCAATGCTGTTGACAACAGCTGATCCCCAAAGTAGAGAAATACCTTTATAACTCATGCCCTCCACGTTTTCTTCAGGAGGCACTTGTGAATGATTCCACATGACAGGAAACATGTGCGTGGCTTTTAGTCCAAGGCACTGTTTTCACACTAATTTTTACTTGTGAATTCCTCTTCCCTTTTTCACCTTGCCTGAACAATTTAGGAGAGAGGGAATAGAAAAGGGTTGTATTATTTTGTTTGCTTTTTGTTGTTCTTTTTTTTTCTTTTCTAGGCATAAATAAATTTACTAAGAAGCTTAGAAATCCTTATGCCATTGACAATAATGAGCTACTAGATTTCCTCTCCAGGGTACCATCTGATGTTCAAAAGGTAGGTAATGAATGGCCACTGCCATCAGAGGCAAGGAGCAGCACGGAGAGGGGCTGGGTGCTCTGCTTGGGGAATAGGATACCAGTACACGTTTGAATAACAGAGATAAGGAATCAGGGAAAATCCACAAAGGGAGGAGGGGAAGGGTGTTAGAAGAGGTGGGAATCAAAATCCTTTGTCAGAAGGAAAAAAAAAATGATTGCAGAAAAATTATCCTGAAAAGACCTACTTAAAAATGATCTGGAAAATCACCCAGCGTGGTTACTGAGCTGTGGTTTCTGTCACCTTTCTGCTCTGGTATTTGTACAGAGGGAAGAGAAAAATGGTCTCTTTGATAGAGAGAACCATCCAAAAGGATTTGTTGAATTTCCCCTTTTCTCAAGATGGAAGGGGAGCGGGGACCATTATTTCTGTAACTTTATGCTTGCTCTGTTGCTCTGGTTTTTTTTAACATCAGCTGTCCCTCAAAATTCCTCTTTCCCACCCACTTCGAGCTCCAAGCCTCCCTTGGACAATGCTCTGCTCATCTTTCTTTAAAGAAGGCCTTGAGATCTGTATAAAATACTCTGTGCCTGATCAGATCAATCTTCTACCATTATAGCATTATAACTTTTAATCTAACAAGAATCTGTCCTCCCTCAATTTCAGTCAAGTCTTGTCTCTTCTCCTATTTCTTTTAAACAACACTGTCTTCAGTAATCTCTCCTATCTTCCTAGAAATTATTTGAACAATAAGTCCTTTAGAATGTCAAGATCTGTTTGTTTCTCTTGGAGGAAGGAAAATAGTCTTGCTGGGTAGCAAAGCCACACAGTATAAAGGATTCTTTCTTTTGTTTTAATCAACTGGAATCTGTGTCCTGGGGCCCTGATCCCGATGCCCTGGATCCCACTGACATTGTGCCTTCCTCTGTGAGTCGTGGCACTTTCACACTGAGGTGCTGCTCACTGTGAATAAGGGGATCACCATCTCGCCTGTAGTGATTTTGCTCTGTTGGAGACAGAAAAATAATTGCCCACATGCCGTGTCGAGGCATCTGGTAGAAACAAGGTTGGAAAAGGCTTCTGGTGACCTCGATCCCTAGAGGCCACCAGATTGGTTGGTGGCAGCACTAATAACTGGAGAGAAATCTCGCCATAGAGCGGTCGGAGGAAAAAAGCTCAACAAAAATGATCATAGAGACATTAAGCTTCAGTGGCTTTTTATTCTTTTTTTGTCATTGGTCTTGTAGAGCACGCTGGATTTGCAGTGATGGTTAGCATATGCCCTCTTAGTGTTTAGGTTTAAAGATAAGCTGCTTTTCTATTTATGCTTTATTTAACATTTACATTTATAACATTTCCTTGAGTGGTTTCTATCATTTTGGGATCCTTTGAGCTCTCAAAAGGAAAAATGATAACCATTCTATGGGAGGAATGATAAAAGTTCCTAGGATGGGACAAATCTTCTCAGAATTTTCCACTGGTGAGCCTGGGTGACTGCTACATGTTCTACTGAGAAGTCACCCACAGCAGCTCCAAAGCCCCTCCGTCTGCTTCGTTTTACATGCTATCAGTGCATCATCCTTTCCCTGTGGTACTGCAGTGAGGTAGAAATTACCTCTGTCTGTACTTCAGCCATTTACAACCCTCACATGTGGGACACAAGGCAGAAGAGTGAAAATGATGACGCGTTCAGCAAAAGTTTCCCTGTGGTTTCAATGGGAGCACTTTGTATCCCAGCAGACAATCTGGAGATTGCACTATCCTCGTCAGTTTATCACACGTGTTTTAAACATTGGATTGTATATGAAATTGTTTTGAAGGGCAGAGGCACCTTTGTCCAGCTTCTATTTGAGAAAATGTTTTCCTCTTCTGAAATGATAAATTATGTCAGCATCCCAAGGTCTGTGTATGCTTTTGACAACTGTCATCTTACTCATACTGGGATCCACTTGAACTGAAACTCTTGAGAGAAGTTTATTAAATTTACAGGTTAATGCCAGAAAGATACAAAAAACAACTCCCCAACCAAAACCACCCCCAAAGATCCACCCTCCATTGCTGAAATCAGGTAGAACCACATGTATCTCATTAGAAAAATCTGCTTTTAATATTTTCGTTTCAAGAAATGATGCATGACTTCTCAAATCCTTCCTGCAATTAATCCCCCATGTTCCTGTGTTTAGAAAATGATTCATTACTTTTCAACCTTCCTTAGTTTCCCTGGGTTTGTCCTGGGGGAGCCATTAGCACAGAGTGTAGTGAGCTCAAGTTACCTCACTGCAGACGTCATGGCTGTTTGTTTTCACAGGTGCAGCACGCTGAATTGAAACCATCCAGCAGCTCCAGCCCCAGCAGGAAGAGGTGGAGCGCGCTCTAGGATGCGGCACGATTTTGGGATGCAGCAGCTCCCTCTGTACCCCCGATGCATGCACATGCACTTCCCTCCTCCCCTTCTTCTTGCTCCGGAACAACACTACGATCACTGCCACAGACCTTTTGTTTTCTTTTTTTAAGACCTATTTTTTGATAACCATCGTGGTTTGTGGGGTTGGGGTTGTCGGCTCGACGCGGAGTCGGAGCCCAAAAAGGAGCCAGGTGGAATGTCTGGACTAGTTTGTGGGGTGTGGAGGAGGATGGGAGAGGATGGTGCAATTGCACCTTTTATTTTTTTTTTTTTTCTTTTTTTTTCTTCCCCCCCCCCCTTCAATTGTAGAGGCAAGGCTGGATGTGGCAGCACTCCCTGTTTTATGTAGGAAGAGATAATTCCGCTTAGTGTAGCAGATCAGCTGAGCTGATGTGAAGAGATGCTCTGAACCAGTTTTTAACATATCCAACAGATTTACATTAAGATATGAAAGCTATTCTTTTCTGAGTTAAATCACTGTGCCTAGAAAGGTTTAAGCTCTGAATTAACGAGTCTTTGATACCCATCTTCTGTTCAAGCAGTGTACATTTTAGAAAGTTTTTTATCATAATTAGCAGAAAGAGCTAGCAGCTCCAACAGTATCTCAGTATTTCATCCGACACTTGTGAGTTTTTCTTTTTCCTTTTTTTTTTTCCCCCTTCTTTTTTTAAAGCCCACCCTGTGGTTAACTCTTTGGATACTGGAATCATTGGAGATCCATTGCTGGCAATGGATGCATGAGAACCTTCTGCCGTGAAAGGATTAAGAGATTGTAGAAAAGCCTAACTCACTGACCTGAAAAGACTCTGTTGACTTTCCTTTTATAATTCCATCTCATCAGATATTTTCAGCATAGCTGTTGTTTTCCTGTCTAAAGCCAGAGGGGTCAACACTACAGATCCAAGAGGAAAAAAAAAACAACACTTATAGCCTTAAAGAAACCAGTGCTTGTGCAGAGAGCATGGTGCCCAAAGAATTGGTTGTGCAATAGTGTGGAGGCTTTGGTCCACCACTGATGTCTTCTTCTTGGAGTCTTTCCCGTTGGTTTGCAAGGAGAGGATCAGAAAGTGAAGTCATATGGAAACTGAGCAATGAAGAGACAGGACCATTTTCTGTTGTGAGGAGAATGTGATTTCTTGCTTGCTTACCAATCTTTTAGCTGTTTTGATTTTGCTTTATAGAATTCAGTTAACCAGCATCATCCGTTTTATTTGACTGGGGAAACTGAAACACAGAATCACAAGTAAACCTGCTTGATTTTGGTAAGAGTGTGGCCCTCAGTCCTTTAGGTGTTGTAGGACATGGTGGGAGTGACTTGCCACCACGAGTCACTGGTGGCACAGGAGCTGGAGTTGCTTCTTGTGATTCCCAGGCAGGGGTTATCACCAGCATCCCCTTGGACAGTTCGTAGAAAAAAGCAGTAGAGAATCCCAAGAATCGGGTTTCTTTTTGACACAAGGTGATTTTGGGAGTCATCTAAGTAAAGGTAAAACAGGTAAAACATTGCTTAGGGCTGGTGATCCGAATGGAATTGCACCATGGGGTTCAACAGTGCAATCTTGTGGACCTGTTGCATGAATTTCAAGTAGGAAAACTAACACCACAGTATCTTCCACTGGATTATGAGCCAGATTCAGTGATTTTTCAAGAAATTAATTTTCCCAAGTAACAAGCCCCGCTGTGCCTTTGACTAAGGAGAGGCACGTTTCCATAGACTCGATTGGATAAAGATGTATTTTGTTCATGCAAAGCTGTGTGTAGCTGCAAATGGAAAGAAGAGAAAAAAGACTCTTGGTTTAAAAAGCCACAGAAATGGTTCTTTGTGTGCACGTGTGCTCCTGTCCCCACGCGTATAGGGTTGTGTATAAAGAGTGCATGTATAATGTATTTATAGGTGAGTGTGTGTGGGGGGAAATGGGTGAATATAAAGATTTTAACCTTGAAAATGTTTATGAAAAATGCCAAAGATTCTAAAGCTTATCATCTCGTGTCTGTTCTTCTTCATTTTGTATCTTTCCGGGCATGTCTCTCTGGCTGAGCCAGATCTCTGCATGATTTGATTTACTTCAAGTTAATGAAGCTGGTTGGAAAGAGCCTTGTAGAAATTACAAAAACTCCAGTAAATCTCCTTCTTGTACATACAATAGATGTCCACGGACCCCTTTTGTTAAACCAGTTTCTCAATCTTCTGTTTAAACAATGCCTTATTGTCTCGCTTTAAACTATCATCTGGTTTATCATACTGTAGTCTTGTCATTTTGTAAGGACCAAAGTCAGACATATTTAAGCAGGCGTGTGAGATCTGATTGTTGATTTGAGTGAAAACATTCAACTGTGGGGAAAATTGTTTATTTATTCAGAAGTTGGGACTGATACTTTAATAGTTTCATTTTTTTTTCCTATAGATTTTTCCATGTGCAACTGATTTCTGCTCAGGAAACAGGGTGTTGACCTTTTTTAATTTTTTTTTTTGTGTAGATGTGTTTCAGAATAATTTCTTGATAATAAATAATTAGATTGCTATGCTGGAAACATACCAAAAGAAGGGGTTTGGACGATCCAGTACCTATATATGTTGTAATGAGCTCTTTGTTTTGATACATGGTGATTGAAATGCAATAAACATTTGAGGTATAAACTGATGCTTTTAATTCATCTGGATTAGGAGATACATTTCCCATTCTTTGCAAAATGCTTACTTTACTTTAATATTTAGTCTTTGACTAGGTAAGAGTACATCACTTGACAGTGCAGTGTAACAACTAATGCTGGAGGTTACTTGAAATGGAGACTGCTGCTGCAGGAGGTGAGGTAAAGCCTTACCCTTCAGCTGTTTAGGGAGATTTTCTAGGCCTTACCTAAAGGAAATGAGAGTTATTTGCATTTATTGCACACTTCAGTAGTCAAATTCTTTATTCTGATTTTTTTGTTTGATTCTTCAAGCAAAATATTAATTGATACAGAACTCTGTGGGTCAGTTTGCCTGTGCAAATTATCAGGTTTTACATTGTTAATCTCTTCAGTGTATAGCATGGAAATGAGAAACTCTTAATTTCAGGTAGTCACTTCAGTGCAACAATATGTGCACTTGCAGTGTCGAGTCTCTGAGACCAGAAGGCATGCAGGAATTAAAATCTAACTGCAGATCTTTTGGATGACTGTGAGTTGCAGAATCGTGGAGGTATTTGAATATGATGAAAGATGTCCACTAATTGTACAGTGTGTAAATAACTGGATGTGACGTGTGTGTGCAGATGCAACGTGTACTCGTGTTTGCCCCAACATAAGCTGCTGCTGCTGAAGGTCGATTTCTTGAATAAGCATGAATAGGACTGAGGACTCATCTCCCCTATGGATCACTGTCAGTGAAACTCAGTCACTGAAATGCACCTTGTGGAAAGCAAGCAAACAACTGAATAAAGCAAAGTTGGTGGAAATGCTGTGCATTTTTTTTTCATTTTTCTGTTCGCAAAGCTCCGATTTTAACCTCCAGCTGTAGCTGCTCCTCCCTCTGCTCCCTCCTCAGTCCCCTCCCAAGCCACCCACCGAGCAGTGGAGAGCTCAGGCTCTGTCCTGCAGAGCTGGGGCTCCCACTGGAGAACGTTGCCCAGCACCCTGCACCCGTTTGCCTGGGAAGGGAAAGTCCTTATCTCTTAGAAATTAGACTGGCTGCTGATAATTCCCTGCCTGGGGTAAGAGTACTAACAACCCCTGAACTGGGCTGCCCCACTACTGAGACTTGCAATTTAATTTCCTGTACTCTACATGGGGCTATGTTTTGGTTTAGTTCTTTAACGTGGAGGGCCTGATCCTGCAGGCATTCCCACAAGTGGAACAGGAGTTATTTTCCCATCAGACCGGTAGATTCACACCAGGAAGGAATTTGGTGGCTCTGATGTGTTAAGAAAAAATTGACAAAATACATTCTAATCAAACCTTAACCTTTAGATTCTCCATCCTTTCAACTAAGCTGATAGACTGTTTGGGAAATGTTAGCTTTGACTTTAGAGACTGTGGCATGTGTTAGAAGTGAATCCTGTTCTGACTGAATATTGTACGTGTGTTTTATCTGTAAAGCTACATGTGTCAGGGCCCTGGTGCATCTACCCCTTCAAATCACACAGAGACATGATAAGAATATCTGCTCTTTAGCATCCTTAAAAGTTAGCAACTCTCAGGAAGCTGAGATACTACAAATGATTGTTAATCTGCTGCCTTGCAGATGGAGTGTTTTAATCGTTTTCAAATATTGGGGTAAGTTAAGCTAGGTGAAATTCCATCATTTTTGGAAAAAGTGTCTTCCTGACGGTTTATCAGTGGGGAGGACCCTCAGCAGCAATAGTAATTATATAGTTAAGGGACATGGGAGCAAAAGATAAGTTTATGATTAATGTAAATATTCACAAGCATTTGGAAATAACGTCGGAGTGAAAAAGCAGCCTCTCGAGATTATAGCATTTTTAATCTACTTTTCTCTGTGCTGCTTTGACTTAAAATAGTGCAACATTTCAAGAGAATTTAGAAGGTCATTTTGTTTTGAATAAAAGACGTGCTTTTATGACATGAATCATGAAACTGAGCATGGGGAAGCAGGAGGTGGCATTCAGGTCCCGGTGTTTGCAGCAGCAGCAGCACCTGGGCGGGCACGAGTTCAAGTTCTCAGCGTGGCTTTAACCCGGGGGCTGGTGATTCTTGTTAGATTTTACGTGAAGGAACGTTGCCAATCGCTTCCTGTGTGCTGAACACCTGCAATTTCCCTCTTGGCTGAACAAGATGAGATGCCTCTTACAGGGGGAAGAAAGTAAGAGCGGTAAGACATGCTGTTGTAAACTTCATTTGCAGTGATGTCCTAGTGGGAGCAGCCTTTTTGGCCCCTTGAGGGCTTCCTTGCAGAAGGAAAGTAGGGCAGGGCCATAAACTGGGCACACAAACCTAGTTCTGGGGCTTCTAGGGCCAACCATGCTCAGATTTAG